TATATATATATATATATATATATATATATACATATGCACATATGTACACACACACACACACTCACACACACACACACACACACACACACACACACACACACACACACACACACATATATATATTCATATATCTGCGTGCATGTGTATCCGCATCAGGGGCCACAAAACAGAAAAGGACCGAAGTACCAGGTTGTTTGCCAGTTCCAGAGAGCGCGGGGCTGCGAGGGACGGCGGTTCAGTCGCATCTGGGATACCAGAAGACCCACTCGTCGCCCGGAACCACGGTGACAGTTATAAGCTGTTCATTGGGTGCGCTGTTCCAGATTTTCATCCAACACTGGTCTGCAGATAGACGCGGTCATGTTAGGCAAACTGTGTCCGAAAATAAAAAGGCTTCTTCTTCGTCAATACTGATGTGTTTGCGCTTGAAAATACGCGCCTCTGATTAGTATGTTTCTTATGGGCAGCGAACGGCGTTTCGTTGCCAGGGAGAACTGTTGTAATTATGATTTTGTGCCGTGGGAGTGAGAGTAACTATTGCATCACTATGCATGCTCCGAATATATTAGTGATGACGAACTCTGCGGTTAATTTTGAATGAAGGCACTTTATGATATAATAAAAAGCTATTTCAAAATAAAAGCATGAAGAATAACACGCGTGTGAATACTACATTAGCACAGTATATCAGACCACAGACAATTCATAAACATAATTGCACAAAGCATGCAGATAATCCCTTTATTCTTACTAAAGATGTTATTGTGTTTTTTGTGTCTGTTATTACTATTGTTACTGTGATTATTCTCTTATATCATTAATCTTCATATTACATTACATTGGTTCGATGAACCACTGAAAACACATGTGGTAATGACGAAAAATGTGATTTAGGTTAAACCAAAGTAACATCGTCAGTGGAGAATTCATCAATTTGATATGAACACTTTCTGTGGAACCCACCGTTCCCGGACTCTATGTTTCTGCACAACAAGCCACGGCAGTTGTAATCCAAGCATTTCTGAAAAGCCTCCTGGTAAGGCCTTACGACGCCCGTCCAAGACGCAATGTTGGGCAAGTAGTGATCCTGTCCGTAGATGAACTCATGTTTGCAATCTGTGGAAGCAAGCTGTTGCTAAATCCTTTGTGTCAGCTAAGGCTACTCGAGCCTAATACATAGGTTTAGGTCTAAACTTTAGAACAAAACAAATCTGTTCAATCTGTTTCAATAGGCTACATACTCGTCCGTCCAGCGTCGCGCTCGCCGAGGAGCCAGGCGTGGCGCGAACACATGTAGAAGTCCAGGTCATACCTGAACTTCTGGTAGGTGGGCTGCTCGTAGCTCACGCACACGCTGTCTGTGGGGCAAGGGCTGCTCGCACACGGGTCCTGCACGGGGAATCATCTGTGCAATATAGCCTAGGAGATCAAGGTAACAACAACAGCTGATTCAAGCTATGCTCCGAATTTGAAATTCTGTTTGTGTGGAAAAGTAGAGTATACTTTTTTCTCATAAATGTAATACTGTATGTGCCTCACCACTATATGCTGCTGGTCTGGATAATGCTGTGTGTAGTAAGTCCAATCTGGGTCGGTGATCAGGTCAGAATCTCTAATCGAAGCCGATGCCAGTAGCTCACACATGAGATTCCTTGCTGTGTAAATATAATGAATATATTTGTCCACGCTTACCATTTATAAAATTCTCTCATCATCCATCTCTTTACTTTTTCATCCCTTACTGTATCACGAAATTCTTA